GGGGGGGGGGTGTCTGTGTGAAAGCGCAGAGACGAGTGGAGAGCTCTTAGATCTCTTGGAACTGCAAGGGGACCCCAGAGGAATGGGCAGGCTGGTCATACGAATAGTTAAGCCTGGGATTTAGGACTAGGGGGCAAGGAATGCAGAGAGGAGAGAGGGCCAAAGGCCAGCGAAGGGGTTACCTTGGGCAAGAGGTTAGCGATGAGGTCTGGCCAAGGTCAATCATTTCAGATCAAGGGAGGCCCCTACAGAGCGCTGTCTCCCCACCCTCATAGTAGCTCCACCTCTCCCAGACATGGGCTCAGACCTGACTTTCCCCAGGAGCCTGCTCTGGGAGCCCTGCCTTTCATGCACCGTGCCCCCCTCACTTTACCAACCCCATTTGGCAGATGGGGTTAGCTGCGTGCTGGATGGAGAAAACACTTGTCCACAGTGCCAGACAGAACCCGGTGTTTCCCCACTCACATCCCCCATGACTGTGTTCCTCCTGGGGTGCAAACCGATGAAAGATAAAAATAAACTATGTGGGTAAGGCGACCTCTAGCTGCTGGGGTGGAGAGAGACCGCACTGGGTGTGAACCGCCCCCCCTCCCCCCACACACACACACAAAGTGAGGAAACTCAGGCACCTCCCCAACCCTACAGAACACTTCCACCAGCGCCTCCGTCCCCCACAGCTCCAAGACTATGCGCGGCAGTTCTCGCGCCGGGGAGCCTGGGAGGGGGGCAGGTCTCCCAGCGGAAGAGGCCACACCCACAAAGTCTTAGAGGGGGTACTGGGGGTGGGAGGCCAGGGGAATAGCGAGGGCGGGGGAGCGCTGCGGTCTTGCGCAGTGCTTTATCCCTGCGTCAGCAACTCAGACCCTCTTGGGGACAGCCGGCCAGGTTCTGGTCTTCACAGGGGAAGGGCAGAGGAAGGCGACCGCCCTGCTCAGGCCAGGGGCGAAGCCACGGCTTCACTCCGTCCTCGCCACACATTTCCTTTTGGGGTCTGCGCGGCTGGGCGTCGGAGATAAGCTGAGGCCTTGCCCCAGGCGGTTCGAAGGGTAGGAGGTTCCTCTTGGCGGCCGGAATCCCGCCTCTCTCCTTGCTGTAGAGCTGGGTCAATTCGCTTCACTTTTCAGAGTTCAGTTTTCCCATGCGCAAAATGGCATAAGGAGGTAGTTTTGAGCAGTGAAATGAGGGGGCGCAGCCAGACGAAGCGCTCGCTACACGTTGGCGATTACGATTATAAACAGTGAGGGCTGCCCAGCGGGCGCGTTAAGGGCCGGAGGGGGGCGGTGGGGGTCCAGNGGTGGGGGTCCAGCTTCGGGGGGAAGTTACGGCTCAGAGTCACCTACTCCGTTGCCCAATTGCAGGACTCGAGCTAGTGCGCCTTCGGGCAGGCGCAGCTCTTCGCCAATCCCGCCCCCCTCCCCGCGCGGGGCCGCCCCAATCCTTGCTCCCCCTCCGTGAGGCCCGGAGGACACGTGCCGCGCTTGCACCCGGCGGCTGGATGGGACTGGACGCGCCCGCCCCGCCGCCGAGGCCCAGGCCCACTCGGGAAAGGAAGTGCCGAGGAGTGTTTGTCAAGGCTTGGCGTTATTATTTTTTAAATTATAAACACAGAATAATATCGACGAATAGAAAGAACTTAATAAACAGGAAAAAAGAAACCCACCCTCAGGGCCAATAACACGGGAGTTTGCTTCCTGAAGAATCCGCGTGGGCGCGGTCCGGGTCCCGGCCAGGGTGTGTCTGCATCGACCCGGGTAGAACCGCTGTTCAAAAGCCTCCAAAGAGATGTCAGGCCCCACTGTCGGGCTGGGCCGGGTGGGATTGAGAGCCCACGGTGCGGGCGCCACCAGGTCCCCCCTCCCCCCCCCAATAATCAGAGTGGCTAGCGTGGGAGTAGAGGAGGGGGTTGGGGAAGGCCTCTTGGAGACAGTGGCATTTCATCGAGGTCGGTGGGATTTGGCCCCGCGAAGGGGTAGGAAGCGTGTTCCAGATAGAGGGAACAGCGTGGACGAGGGCGCCTCCTGGTGGGAAAGTCAGGTGATGGCGTGGACACGGGAGCCGATATACTGGGCGCCAGGTGGGGCAGTTGGAAGAGGTCGGCAGGGGGATCCCCCGGCAAAAAGTTGGACTTTTTCCGTTCTACAAATACGGGTCACCTGGCCCCAAGACCGCCGTGGGTGTTGATGATCACAGTCCGGCCAAGGGCATAACTGTGAATCTGCACAGTCGCTTGGAGAGAGCAAAGGGTCACCGTTGGCCCACGATTTCCGCGAAGTGATCCCTTCAACCGTCGGAGAGAAGACCCATTTTACAGACCAAATAGTGTTATCCCCATTTTTCAGAAGAGCCGCTACTCCCTGACCCTTGGAATGTGCAGAGGTGAAAGCGCACTGTGCACCCGCCCGCACTCCCAGGCGTGGGCGCTCCCGGCAGGCGGGGCGGGCCGTGCCTCCCGGCGCCGGGCAGCCTGGAACTGTGGGCCTGGTGTTTCAGGTCCTGCCACGCAGCCGCAGAGGCTCCCTGAGGTCTGGCGGCAGGAAGGGAGGCGACGCCCCCTGGAGCGCGGCCGGAACCGGGCCGGACCCGCCTCCCTGCCCGCGGAGTCGCCCCGGCCCCAGAAGTGATGAAAGCCGCTGCTGAGTCCAGGTCACGCCGAAGCCGTTGCCCTTTTAAGGGGGAGCCTTGAAACGGCGCCCGGGTTCCATGTTTGCATCCGCCTCGCGGGGAGGAAACTCCATGTTGTAACAAAGTTTCCTCCGCGCCCCCTCCCTCCCCCTCCCCCTCAGAACCTGGCTCCCCTCCCCT